GTGGCCCAAAATCAAGGACTAGCTGTAATCTACCATATTGGGATGTAGGATGCTTGGCTTCTCTGGAGAAGATCCCTATCTGGATCTTTTGTTCTGACCAAGGCTTCCTGAGACCATATTTAAAACACTTAGTCAAAATAAATCTTGCTTTATTTTAATGCTGGGAATTATGTTCATTCCCAGCCAGTAATGAGTCCCAAACAGTCCCTTGAGATAAGCACCCACCTTTCTCTCCTTTGAATTGCTGCCAAGAACTAGAGCCAAGCCAAACAAAGTACAAAGTCCACACAGAGCTTCAAGGTTTGACGTTGCTTCCTGCAAAGGTTTCTCTACTTTATACCTTAGGGGAGGGGCAATCACCTCCCAGTCTTACTCTCGAGTCACCCCTTTTGTCTTAGCAGCTCTTGCCTTCTAGCAGTTCTGCGCTAACACACACACACACTGGGAACAGGCTCCCCTTGTTCTTTGGCCTCGCTGCTGCCAGATTCCTGTGGCTCCAGAGTCAGCACCCCACTCCCAGGTGGTCCTGGCCCCATCTCTGCATCGGATGCAGGACCCTCATCTGAGTCCACTCCAGACTCCCAGACTGGTCCCCGTTCTTTCCCACTGTCCGATTCCACTGCCATCTGCACTGGCTGCCAGCGAACCACAACATCTTCTATGAAGAGATCCATGTGTCTCTCCCTGCATTATGTTCAGAAATTTGCTAAAATTCTTCCTTCACCTCTGAGATTTTGGTTAGGATGGGTGTCGAGCCCCCCGTAGAATTTATTTTGTACTCTCTGAGGTCTCTGTTTTCTTCCAACATTTATATGATCTGTGTTCTTAATCACTGCTGCTTCTTTAAAGTTGCAAGCTGGCCCCCAGTCTTTTACCCCCTCCCTGATTTTATTGTTTTAATTAAGTAAAACAAGAACAAACAAACAAACAAACAAAGCAAAACAACGAAAAGGGAAAGTAATACATTACTGTAAACGAAATACAACTAAGGCCAGAGCAAAGGTGGAAGGAAAAATACGAGGACTATTAAAAACAAATTTAAAAGGAAAAACAACCCTCCCCTCTCGAAAAAAAAAAGCCGCCCAGAATTTTTATGTGGAGTCCGAGGACCTCTAATTTGTATAAATAAATACATTGTTTAGTCTTGTTTCTTTTGCATGTGATTTTAATTAACGGCACTTTTTATCTTACAGCAGGCGGTAAGTCTGTCTTTCTATTTCTCCTAATAAGGTCAGTAAAAGAATCGTTTGTTTTGCACATTGGGCTGTGCTATTCTCTTAATGGGGAGGGGAGAAGGGAATATTGCAATAGCACTTAGACTTATATACTGCTTCACAGTGCTTTTACAGCCCTCTCTTAGGCTCATCATCAGAGGTGGCATTCAGCAGGTTCTGACCAGTTCTGGAGAACCGGTAGTGGAAATTTGGAATAGTTTCGAAAACCAGCCAATACCGTCTCTGACTGGAGATTTTATCCTACCCCTGCCATGCCTACCAAGCCACACCCACAGAACTGGTAGCAGTGGGACTTCCGGTGGCATTTCCGTCGAAGATGGACCAGAGACCGCGATCGTGCGCGGATTTGATCTGTGCTTGCCCTGTTGGAGGGGTCCCTGAGGGACCGGAACCATCTGATCCACCTTGTAGGGGTGGGGGAAGAGAGGGAGACCACCAGCTGGCTGCATCTCCCCTCCCTGGCTTGGTATACTACCCTAGGAGATGAAGCGGCAGTTTAATGGCTGCCCTGAAGACAGGAAGCTGCCGGGACCTAAGTTTGTGCTGGAGAGTGGAAGCGATGAGCAGCGTGTAATTGGATAAAAGACTTTGAATATTTTTTTTAAAAATTCCAAAAAGCAGAAAGAATGATAGCGGCAAACAGAGAATAAGAGGAAAATATAAGGTAAAGGAAAAACTGGAAATAATAGAATCATATGAAATCAGAGATTAAATTTGAACTAATATATAGACTTGGACATTAATTAGGCATTGGATAAAATGCTGGACTTATTTGGAATGGATAAAAGTTAACATTAATACTACGGAAAAGAGAATTTTAAAAAACTTTGAAAAGAAAGTGATATAGAGCACCATCTAATGGTTAAAGATTTTCCTCTTTTATGTTTTTATGGAAAATTACTGGTCACATAAATATTTGAAAGAGAGAAGAAATGGAATAAAATATTATTAATACAACAAAAACCATGGATTTTTTTTAAAGAGGGGATTATAGTAAAATATAAAGGAATACAATATTTTGGGACTGCTGGAGGTTGACTGTGACAAGAAAATAAAAGAATGAGAAAGTGACTATTATAGAAAATTTTGATCTTTAATAAAGAAATGGAAGAAATAAGCAAAGAATTTAAGTCGGAGCTGCAAACTGTGAGAGGTATGTTAAAAGAAAGAATGAAACTGCTGGACACAATGATTAGTAAAGTAATGGCGTTGCAGCTTGCAGAAGAACAAAGAAAGCTCAGAGATGACGAGTCGGAGGAGGGAAACAACAGCCCAGATGAATATGGAGAACAAGGATTATTGCCAAAGGAATTAAAATAGAGACATTGATAACAGAGACAACAAATAAAAGAGATAAGGCTCCCAAGATTAAGAAGAAGAAGAAGGAATTATATAAGAAGAAACTCCAAAACAGAGAACTGGAAAGGGTGAGAGAAAACATGGCTGACAGGCAGAGGGGAATAAAAATAATACCAGAAGGAAAAAAGAAGAAAGACTGGGGAAATTTAAAAAAGGGAAAGCTGGCTAAAATTAAAAGAAATAATAAAGCCAAAAAATTTAGAGATAAGGGTCAGGGATTCTATAAGGGGATACCACATGGGAATGTATATTGATATTTAGTCTAAAACTTGCTGGGAAATATTTTAGGATTCTATAACTATATAACTATATAACTATATAACTATATAACTATATAACT